CTTGGAGTATGCCGTCCAGGCTTGGCGTCCGTGGTTCAAGAAGGATTACCTGTACCTGGAACGAGTGCATTCGAGGGCTACGAAGATTGTCAATAATCTTGGTCATCTGCCTTATGAAGACAGACTGACCGAACTTGATCTTTTTCCTCTCAAGTATATGTAGCTCCGCGGTGACCTCATACAAACCTACCGAGTTGTTAGCGGCCGTGAGTGCGCACTAAAATCTGACGATTTCTTCGAATTGGCTCGGACTGATCATCTGCGGGGTCACCCCTTTAAACTACAGAGGAAACCGGCCCTTATCGACGTTCGACGGGACGCCTTCTCTCAGAGGGTCATCGGAGCGTGGAACAGACTCCCTGATGAGGTGGTCCTCTCAGATATTGTGGACATTTTTAAGCACAAACTTGATTCTTATTTGCTGAGAAACTGTGACAGATATAATGAACAGAGTGTCAGTAGCAGCACTTTGCAACTGGCTCACACTTGTCGCTGATGTTAAGCCTACATTTATATGATGTGCTTATGTGAAAGGTGAATTTATTTTGCGATTTTTGGTTATGAATGGGGAGCTCAAGGGCGAAAGCCTTCTTCCCTTAATAAAGAGGACACAATATTCTCCTGAATAACCATTTTCATCGGCTCCCAAACCTGTCCGATAGACCAATCCCCTAAAAAATTAGTTGCTCTGAAGATTAAATTCAAACAATTCGACCTCAGCCAATCATTTTAGTAAGCCTACCTTTTTTACTGTGCAATAATTCCGTCACACCTTTCCGAGCTATATATTCGATCGGTTCTATTTTTAATATATCGCAGAGTAACCACCGTTCCCTTCAGTCACTTCATTTTGTTGGTCCGACTGAGCAATTTTGAAATGCCGACCTTGAGTATTGTTATGGTTACCGCGTCTTGACAAATATTGTCGAAATTCAAAAGTAAGCACGCCTAACTATATGCCAAAGAGCAGTTAAACTTCGTCCTTAATTCTAGAAATATGGAGGAATGTCAGTTACCACAAATTTGTGTCGAAAGAACGCTTGCTATCATCAAACCAGATGCAATCGATCAGGAAGATGAGATTGAGGAAATAATAATGAGGCATGGATTTACAATCACACAAGTATTCCACTTCTAAGTTATACTGAAATTAAAAGAAACGAAAAGTTCGACTTTCACCAGAACAAGCCACTGAATTCTTTGCCACTCAAGTCGGACAACCTAATTTTCCAACGCTTGTTCAATATATGAGCAGTGGTCGAATTACAGTTTTTGTTCTTGCGAAAGTAAATGCAGTCGCTGATTGGAAAGACATTGTTGAATATAGTCCACAGGATGAAAAGCAAAAGGGATGTGTCGAAAAGTAAACATTTTAACTTACTTATGTTTCAAGGTTACAATCTATGTTCGGGACAGACAAAAAACAGAACGCACTTCACGCAAGTGAATCACTCCCGGCAGCTGAAAGAGAAATCCGATATTTTTTCCCAGATAGTAAGCATTTTGTGCAAACATATTTATAAATTAGCTGTAATCGAACCGATTCCCGCTCGTGAAGCAGCAAAGGACTACCTGGCTGCTAATGTGAATCCTACATTGTTAGCTGGATTGACAGAGGTCTGCAAACGAAAACCAAAGGAACCCGTGGTTCGTTTTAGTTTTTCGATAATAACTGTTTATAAATGACCTAGCGCAAGCTTAAGCCTAAAATTAATTTTCTGTCATCTGAATCCTTTTCCTATGGAAATGGAGGCCTATTCAAGACGTCCATGCACTGCTACGGTATTAGTTTCTTAAGTTGCTTAACTGTCATTCTGAAACTAATCTTGAGCTAACTTTTCTCTTGATATAAGTTATAGAGAGCGAATACCTAAGTCTCTGCCTTTTCTACCCAACTCGCCCCTTTTGTCTTAAAAGCCCGTTTATGGTGTAACTAGTATATTTACTTCAAATATTCTAACAACTGTACACGATCAAAGAGCTAAATTTGGCCATAAAACGAAGGCTACAGACCGCTTTTCAAAATAATTTGCAAACTTTCATATTTCGTTTCTCCCCTCAATTAAAGCTATGGCTTGCTGATTGGCTGTTGAAAAACAACCCCTACCGGCCAACCATCGAAGAACCGCGTCCAGTTATAATCCCACCGTGAAAGGGCCAGTGAGTACGAGGTTCTGACCGAAATAGAACAGCATTTCGTGTGGGACCAATGCGCAAGTCATATTTTGGACAAGTTCGTGTAAATTTATCTGACTTCACCTAACATTGACAGGCCTGTCGTGCTTGGACGTACGGGGTAGATGAATTATAAAGACATAAATACTACCCTTGATTTTTCTTTTAAAAACTAGAATTTCCATGTTTGTATTCCGAATGCAACTAGAAGGGGATCTAGAAATAAGTTCCGACCTCCAGTAATATAAGCACAGTTGGATTGGAACCGTCTAATTGTCGTAAGTATTTCAAAGTGGCTACAAAGAAACGGGCTTTTATCAGCAATAATTGTATTCACATTCCTTATCCCATGCACCAAATAGCCTGAACTTGCTTTCCGCCAGACAGTAATCCATTAAAGATTAAGCTTAAATTAACAGTGTCAGGCAAGCTGAACGCGTAGAACAAAAGATTAGAACTGTGATACAAATATTCATCATCTAAATAATAGAGCTTTGAATCGTTTAGGATTACGAATTTTTCTTTAGCGGCATTTGAGCAAATGCATTGCGCTAAAGGCAAAAGCATTTAGTATGGTCATCACCGGAAGAAAGGTAAAATGGTTCAGATAAAGGCTCTTCTGTTGTTTTAGAATACGCAGAAACTACGTGCGTAGGAGCGCCCAACTTTTCATATATACGGAGCAGAAACCACACACAACATAGATTCTCTATGAGAATTTGCTATACACGTGCACTAAGATTACATCCAGTTGAAGTATCTTATAAGTAAGCAATTTAGACACAGTTGTTTGATTCATACAAATCACTACGGAGGCGATGAAAAAGTTATTTATGTGATATTTCGCACCATACGTGCTAGAATGACTGCTTTTGCAAAATTTCGAAAACTAATTTACTAGGCGAACGTATGCTTGGCTCCCGACGCTGTAAAATTCCTCCTGTTGACTATCAAAGCCCTGTCAAACTGCTATCTTCTCTGTAAGCTTACAGTTTTCAGTAAAATATGGTGACTATAAACGGTGATACCAAGATCTAAAAACAGACATGTCTGCCATTCCAAAAATATGATGGTAACATGTCTGAACAATCCATTTTCCTTTTCAAACGATGGCATTAACAATGTGACGATTTCAGCTTAGCACAGGAAGAGACCAAAATCTCAAAAACTAGTCAAGAAGATATTCGTTAGTTTTTCTACTGAATATAAACACTCCACAAAATGTAGAAAGCTGGAAAAGAGGACAGAACCGCCCATAAACACTGTCAACTGTTATGTCAACTTCTTAACAATCGGTTCTAAAACTTGGTGCAGTAACCTTGCCAAATTTCGCCCCTTCCGGTCTAGATAAGAATTCCTGATACCCAATTCCTCTGAAAGAGTAGTGCACTACATGGTCGAGGTCTACATTCACACAAACTGTATACCAACTAAAGAGACGTCACAGTGAGAGTCGCACGCTATCTATACAAGTGCACATAGCAAAAGGATGGTCGGAGCACGTGAGCAGTAGTTATTAATTGGATTCAGTAGAAAGCTGAATATATTTGTGTTTTACAATAAGCTGTACAAACTCTGAACAGAAGTGGAAGAGAGGGGATATTGCAAAAGCATTGATAACGGCAAAAGAATTCCCCGGGGTGGATCACAGGGCCCCAGAGGCAAAACGGGGGACATTTGGTTGGGATGGGAGGAGGAGGAGGAGGAGGAAGAGGGGGAGATGAAGCGCGGCGGCGTAGGTACTAGTTTGTCACCGTAATGTGCCGTCGACACAGAGCCGCGACGTAGAGGCCGAAAAGCAGGAAAATGA